ATGAGGTTACATGCTTAACACACATACAGATCCTGTATGCTAGGTGAGTGGTGGGCAGCCATGGTGATGTAAGGTAGCGGTGTATGAGGTTACATGCTCAACACACTACAGATCCTGTATGCTAGGTGAGTGGTGGGCAGCCATGGTGATGTAAGGTAGCGGTGTATCAGGTTACATGCTTAACACACTACAGATTCTGTATGCTAGGTGAGTGGTGGGCTGCCATGGTGATGTAAGGTAGCGGTGTATGAGGTTACATGCTTAACACACACTACAGATCCTGTATGCTAGGTGAGTGGTGGGCAGCCATGGTGATGTAAGGTAGCGGTGTATGAGGTTACATGTGTAACACACCACAGATCCTGTATGCTAGGTGAGTGTCGTATGTTACTTCGCACGAGTCGTGGTTACGTAAGGTAATAATGGAAGCTACGTGATGAGTGTGAGAGCAGGAGTTGATAGACAGGAAGACACTGAGACATGAAGTATATATATATATATATATATATACTAAGATGGCGCTATTTAGTATACGACAGCACGACAGGTTTGTCACCACACCTAAACCTGACACTCTCTCCATCGCCACAGTCCGTACATGTATTCGCGTCTCTCTACACTCCTCTGTTTGTCTTCCTCTTCACTCTACATAGTATATGCCTAGTATGTTCAAACCCACTTGTCAATCATGTCACATCTATACATATATATACGTACATACATATACATACGTACATAAATACATATGTGCGTGTGTGCATGCGTGGGTGCGTACATGCGTACGTGCGTGCGTACGTATATACCGTGTATATGTATTAATTGTTAGGCTCGTTAACGTTGCAGGGATGCTGTGGTGAGTGCGGTGAAGCTAGCATCCCTGACGGCTGTGAGCGTCAGTGATGCGCAGACTCCGCTCAGCATGGCTTCTATCAGCTGCAGCGTGCACAAGCTGGACTTCCTCTCTCCCGGCAACCCCGACACCTCCCTGCTTCCCGGGGAAGACTGCCTGGAGCTGGAGCTGTGGAGGGATCGCTCGGGGAGTCGTACGTCCCAGGATCTGGTAGGCTGGAGTGTTTACTCACT